GAGAAATGACCTTACGCTTTGCTGGGTGCCAGGACACTCAGGCATTAAAGGAAATGAAGCTGCAGACAGATTGGCAAATACTGCCTCTGCGACTTCAATGATAGGCCCACAACCCTTCTGTGGCATCTCACGAAACAGTGCATGTTCTGCGATTGCGTCATGGGCCAAGGAAAAGCATCGCAAACGCTGGGTCGATGTTCCCCTTCTTAGGGTCAGCCAGCTTACTCTGTTTAGGCCTTCTAAAAAGGTTGCCTGTGACCTCTTGAGACTAGACAGACGAAGAATTAAATTAATTGTTGAACTGATAACTGGTCATGGAAGATTCAGGAAACATCTACAACGGATGGGCTTATATGATGGTGAACCGATCTGTAGGTACTGTGATAGGTCAGAAGAGACAGCTGATCACTTACTCTTTGATTGTAACGAGCTCTTTGACGCTAGATCGATAACTCTTGGAAATATGGCTAGAGGTAGATACCTTCCTGAGGATGAACTAATTGGGAAGCTACAGGCATTCATTGGGCGCCTTAACTTGTAGGTCAACAAGAAAGCAATTATTGCGCACCCCAAATAATTCGATTTCGGATGAAGTGCTTAAAGGTCTCTTAAAGACCTGCCCCTGTCAGATAAGATAAGATAAGATCCCGAAAACAGGATTTTTAGAGCATGAGCGGGATTTGAAGGGGATGTGGGATAAAACAGGAGTTTTGGCTATGACGTCCGTTTTTATTTACTATGCTTTTATTTTAGTGAAAAACTAACCCCAATCGAAAAAATTACCTTAACAAAATATAATAGCAATGTTAAAACAACTATTTAAACGAAATATGTCCAATTCAACACTCAGAATTTAATAGGGGTGTGCGAAGCAGCAAAAAATTTTCGATTCGAAGCAACGATTCGATTCAAAAGATTTTCGATTTGATTCGATGCAACTCGATTCGAAGCAATACGGTATTTTTCTATTCATAATTGCAACTCGATTCGAAGCAATACGGTATTTTTCTATTCATAATTGTCAATTGAGTGGATTAACAATAATTAAAATTTATCACATTTGTGTAATACAAATTTTTGTTGATGTGGTATTAGGCCTATAAACCCACCATACTTACATATGAATTTTAGGTGAAAAAATATTTATTTTCAATCATATGTATTAGAATAACTGCTGGAAATACCAGTGAGCTGCTTTACTTGCCTATTTCATAATTTTTACTTGGAATTGGCTCAACTGCAAGAAAGAAGAAAATATTTTTTTATCAAGACATTCATTCTCATTTTAATAAATGTTTAAATAACTAAATAGGTACCGGTAGCTAAATTACAACAAATTTGAATGGAACTTAATATAAAAAGACCATTAAGAAATAAATTTACATATCACAAGTTTAGGGCCTGTGGACCGGCTTCAGGACTGCAAGCAAGAAGAAAATAAAAATAATATGTTTCCACCATGCAACATGTATCATTCATTCCCTGCCTCCTAACCTCCTTAGTATAATAACCTCACACTTACATTATGTGTTACATCATCATAAATAAAGAATTATTATTGGCATCAGTAGGCCTACAGCTTTACATAGGCATTATTTTTATAGGGCCTAAAATAGTAATAGGCTAGAAGCAACATGTCAAGTGGAGAACTCATTGAAGAAAAGATATTGTGTAAACTAATTTCCTATAAAACTCAAAAACAGTAAATAACATACAAACATTGTTTATGGTATAATTAATAAGGACTAAAAAATGCATATCATGTCATACAGTAGTATAGACCTACCGGTACTGCAAGAGATTAAAATCCTAAAACAACTGATTTTGATAGCTAATGAATGAAAAGAATTAAAAATCCATAAAATGAAGCTAAACAATATCACAACTAATTAGGTACCCGAAAAGTAACTCTTAAATAATATATAGAAGATTAAAATAATATTAAATCAAGAGACAAGAAAGTTAAATGCTATCTTCTAGTGCCCTTGGCAACACAGGTCAATGTTTTTAAACTACCCTCAATGTTTTTGGAACAGCAGGGTCTTTTAGTAGTATGTCAACAAAAACAATGAATCAGTCTCACCAGCCAGGCCCGGGCAACGATGTGTGAATTCAAGGTCATAGACCCTCCCCCTCCCCTCTTACAACACCCGGTTGCTACCCAGTTGCTTCAATTGCTGACAAAATGCAAGTGATGAAACAAGGAAGTAGAGACAAAGAAATATATTTCTTTATTCAAAAACACAAAACTGTTAGAGATTATTTTCAAAGAAATTAATTCAATGTAATTTGTGAGTTGTAAATATTGTATTGGATCTTAGAAATATATTTGTTTAACCCTATTTAACCAAGATATTTCTTTTGTTTATAATTTATTATGTAAAATACTAAAATATATTTTTAATTAGGTATTGAATGAACAATAAATGATTATACTAGTATGTCTGGATAAATAGTCTTTCTATTCTTTTGACTTTGTTTTCTTTGCACTGTTAGTGTTGCGTCACAGCTTTTGTCTTGTTACTCTTATCAGTAGACGACTAGACCTGGCTCTGGCTAGTGGCAGTGCGGCAATTGCTCTGTTGTGTCTTTATTCTTAAAGGTCGTGAGCCAACTTAATTTTTAATTCTCATTTGAACATTTTAATTCCTCTGTAATAGATATAATAATATAAGAGTGTTTCTTTGGAAATAAATTATTCTTTTTTTTCTTTTGCCCCAACAAAAATTCGGGGACGGGGACCGACAGACACCTAACAAAAATACCAAATGTATCAGTCTATAACATTGATCTTACTAGTTAAGTATTAAGTAACAATTTTTCAGACTTATTTTTAAAATGATTTTGGAGTAACCTACCTTGTTTTGGCTAGGTTCACAGTAGTAAAATATTTCACACACTGCTTACATCAAGACAAAAAACAAAACCTCTAATCATTTGCAATGTCAAAACAAAAAAAATATAAAACAATTAAAGCTATATTTAATGCAAAGAATGTATTAAATAAGAACGCCTTCGTAAAGGAAACGCAACCGCAACGCGCTCCTGTATTGTGGGTATTGCATTGACTTTCTGCAGGCGTTTTTCGTATATGGATACTGACTCCCTCGTGAATCGAATCGTTTTTTGACCACCACTGAATCGAATCGCGATTCGATGCATCGAATCGAATCGAATCGAAATTTCGATGCATTTTCGATGCATCGCACACCCCTAGAATTTAACATCAAAAATCTTAAGGGATTAAACGGGATTTCTTAACCAAGTGACCGGGATTATATTCTTTTGGTTGTGTAGAAACACTGGGAGCTCGGTGCGTTCAATTAAGCCAGTAATCAGAGGGTGATGATAGAATGTCTGTCGATGTTCGATGTTTTTTATAACGATGGTAGGTTCCAGATGTTTTTGTTACATCGATGTTTTCGTCAAACTTCGATGTTTTTGACCAAGTATTGAGACCTAGATGCAAAATGTAGCATATCTGTAAAAAATGTAGTCTTTCAAGAGAAATTCCAGATTTTTTCCAAAATTCCCTGACTTTTCCCTGACTTTTCCAGACCAACAAAATTCCCTGACATTTCCAGGTTTTCCAGGTTTTCCCTGACCGTACCAACCCTGTTAATTGTTTAAGATATAAGTGGTTTAAGTGTTGATACTTCTTTTTCTGTGTGTTCAAAATATATATATATATATACCATACCATAATTATCCCAATAGTAACTTACTGTACGATTCAGATACTTGGGAACTAACCAAAGAATCGAAAAACCGTTATTGCTGTGAATGAGAATAGAATGCAGAGAAAATATATGGACCAGTTCAAGATAACGGAGGTTGAGATAAAAACGAACAGAGAGCTAAGAGAAATGTATAAACACCCAGATATAGGGTTGCTTTCCAAAAGTAAAAGGCTCGAATGAGCCAGATTATATATATATATATTTTAAGAGGTTGGCGGCCTCTTTAAACCTTGCAGTTTCCTGTCCGTATAGACTAACTGCCCGTGCATGGGACGTATCCACTATCCAGCGAAGCAAGGGGTGAGCCGGTATACAGTAAAAGGATGAACTGTACTGATATAGTATATTACGTTACTAGTTCTGAAAATAAGTGTTTACCGGACGAGTGTGGTCGTTCCTATGCGAGACAAAGTCGAGTCTATCTATTAGTACCTATGGCGATTACGCCATACTACTAGATCTGTACAAATCCTATATTACCACCAACTAAAGGACTAAAAATCACTAGTCATAACCTCTAAAAGAGGTTATGCTTTGTTTATAACCACTCATTGCCACCCAAATACAGTATAATCAGCTGATTGGTGTCCGGTAAAACTCATTACAGTACAGTAGTATGCAATGAATCCCCATTTGATTAAGCTGGCAGCAAAAATCTGTTTTCTGGACTAAATCCTTGTGTGGGAAGTTCGTCAAAATAGTGTAGTGTGGTGTAAAAATGTTTGCGGCTGTGACCAGGATCCGAACCCACAACATCGCTGTCTTGGGCCCGAAGTCCGTGGCGCTACAGACTGAGCCACCGACTAACCATATGCGGAGAGAAGATACATCAACTTTTTAAAGTGTATTCTACATTGGAAGAGGCAGGGAATAGAAGAGAATGGGAGGCCAGAATTCTCTTAGGGTTTCAGTGGTCACGGAGGTAAGATAAGGTACGGTAAGTGATAGTTTGCAATGGGAGGTGGAATGTAGCTACTGTACTCAAAACCAGTGTGTGTGAATTGGCCCCCAATCTCACTAAAAGGCTTTTCAAATTGACACAATTGCTGATTTATTGTAAAATTATCTGATTTAAAATGCATATCGTATAGGCCTATAATAGGGTGAAAGAAAAAGGTGGTCCCACTCGTGACATTTGTTTACAAGATGATTTTCTCCAATAAAACTGCTAGTATTTGTCTTTAGCTGTTCTAAAATTACGGTATATTCAGTTTCAATTGACTACTCATATTAATTATTTACCACTGTACATTAACTCACTTCTGAGGGATGGATCGATGAGGGCTCTGAGAGATGTAATGGTTTGGCAACTCTGGCAGGACTGTGGAACCATCACATGGTAGGAACGTAGCCAGATACTCCTCTGCCAGCCTCAGGTAGAGTGAGGAGTATACCCGAGTCTCCTGGTAGGGCACTGACTTCTGGCAAGGGTTCACTATATGGTACATGAAGTGGAACATGTACAACTCAAAAGGATCTAGTTTAGTTAAGGTAATATACAGTGGACACACACTTTAGTCTATGGCACATTCTTATCACTTACCTAAAACAATTGAACTTATAATTTGATCAATAAAAACACCACTCATAATTTAGTAAACATCTATCGGCCCCATCATGGTTAAAGAGATTAGATTGGGGTTGATTAGACACCAGACAGCAACTCTTCTTTGTACTGCTTTTCAATAAATATGTTTTAAATGGTCTTAATGGCTGTGCATATTATTGATTGTCACAAAAAGGATACTCAAAGCTAGATGCAATGGTGTGCGGGTCCGTGGATCCATTTCAAGTTTGTCGATATAGAAAGGTAAAGCTGTACCTTCTTCAATGGACTGTTTCACTTTTTGCTGGAAAAAGTATCGATTATTATAACTACAGAATATATTCTTTGTTTGAAGTTTTATTTTGGTAATTATATATAGTAGTATAATCAGCGACATATTAATTTGTTCAAAGTAGTTAAATGGACTGGGAATATTTTCAGTCAAACCTTGGTATAGCAAATTCAGATGAAATAAGAATGAAATTTACGCCATCAAGTAGTTTATTACTGATGTAGAGATTAGTTATATAGACGTCAGTCAGATGAGCTATATTTCCCCATGGGCTCTAACGTGTTAAAGTTAGAGGTTCACATCATGGGCGTAGTTACAATAGACAATGCCCTTCAACTACTAGGCAGATTTTTATATTCATGTTGTTTCTTGTCTCAGGATTACTGTTTTATTTTATTTTTATTTTTTTACCCATCTATAGTTTGAAAAACTACCCCTCTATAGTTTGAACTACAACTTCTGAAAAATTCTCAAATATCCCCGACGCAGCAAACCTGCAGACTAAGCCAATTTCCATTTGCCTGATTGGATTTACAGTAAAATATCTCCTTTTAAATATCACATTTATCTATCCTATAATACGAGTAACTTTTGCTCACGATGATTTCAAAAACGGCTCCAATGAGTTCCTCTAAATTGTTAGGAATACCTTTTCAGCTAAAAAGTAAAAACAATATCCATCCTAGCCACTGTTCTGTGAAAATTTCTTTTTCGTTAAATGCATTTAAAAAAATTTAATATTATTAACATTGGTATGATGAAAAGCTAGGTAATAGAATAGGCTAGTCAATCTAGAGTCAAAATCAGCATAACATCAAACTTAAAGCAATAGAAATAAAATATATGGGATTTTGTCCCCAAAAGGTGTCCACAACATCATACTAAAAATCGAGAAAAATCGAAGTGGCGGAAAGCCGCCATATTGGAAAAAAGCTTCCGCCAAATTGGATTTATGTAAGCTTTTAGTAAAATAGCAATAGTTTGACAACTAAGCGTATTAAGAATCTGCGGTTTGTTTTAATAGCTTCCTCATTAAGTCTTCTTTAATATAATAACAACTTTTATACCATTTCAATATTTTTTTGTTTAATTGAGACAGCTTTAATTTAAAAAAATAAAAAATGTTCAAAGATATTTTTAGTAAAACCTTTACATTTTTGCAAATACAAACTCAGGTGATATGAACATACATATTTTGTGGCTATTAAAATAATCTGCATTGAATTTTGAACTATCATCACATCAGCTTGTATCTTGCTTTGAAGATGGGATATATTTGTTATTAGTCTTCAACTTGGAACGCTAGCCGTGACGCGCGCTGCACCGCTACATATACTCCAGGTAAAATACACTTTGAGGTAGGAAAAATTGCTTTAAGAAAATTTAAGCCATATTTTGAAATAATTTATACAGGATAATATACAAACAAAAATCCGACATGGGAACACTGAAAAAGTAGACGTAACAAACCAAAATTCAATTTTTCATAATAGACAATTACAGTAGTAGTCAGAGAAACATAGGATATGACATCAAAAAAATTTCAATGAAACGTTTCGTGGACTTATTTTTAGTGTTGGGTTGGCAGAGTGACATACTAAAAGTTGTTTAAAATTTGTATACAGGAAAACCCCTAAAATGACTATTAAAAATGGCGGCTTTTCCCAAAATTGACAGATTTGAAAAAGCCTCATGCATTTTTATGAAAATTTTTCGAGAAATTGACTTGGTACCACTGCTGATATTTATTCCTTGGTTAGTACCTAATTTCGATAGGTAACACGTTTTTGGCCGCCATCTTGGATATGAATATATAATATTTTTAATGTAATGATAGTTTTGTGACACATCATTTTATACTAGATTTTCACGCTGATTGTAATTCTGAAATCCGTTTTTAAACATCCTTTTTCGTTTTGAGGATATATTCAAACGAAAACTCTACCCCATACATTTCCAATGAATGTTTCGTTCTTTGAACAATTTTTAAAATGATTTTCATACATCTCCAGTTATTATTAACGCTTGCAGTTCGATCTACTGTAGCATTAAAATATTCAGTGATGTAAGGGCTGTAATTTGATTATTTTTGCTATTGATCATTAAAATCAGACGATTTAGAGACCAGCTGCGAACCACAACACAATATGAAATTGACCTTTTTAGAAATAGGTTGTTATTAAAATATTTAAATCTCGGGTTGTATTAACAACACGAGGTATAAATCTTTACATATTATCTTCATATAAAACGTCACCAAGTTCTATCTGGTCTCAAATTACCCAGTAAATTCTTGGCTTTAATTTTATTAAGTACATAATAAAATCTGACAAATTTAAAATGAGACATGGACTTTTATTTAAAACTAGCAGTTATCCAGCACGCGTTGCTGTGCTAATAACTATTATTTGAATTTTTTTTGTTCTTTACGATGAATTATAAAAATATATAGGCCTACCAAAAACAAAAATAAAATTTTAATTTTTTAATTGCCAGGGGATAAACTATGTTTTTGTCTTTTTCATTTGGTATAAAAATATATATAAGTTTTTTAGGCGAACCCCCCTACCTACTACCACGTGAGCAGGCAGCATACAGCTGTCCGTGTGTAAAGCATACATTTTATAAACTTAAACCGGCGACAGCAATAAGCAAAGGAAATTGTACTCGCTTGAATTCAAAGGGTAATTCGGAATTCTTGGGATTAAGACTATTTCTCGTTAAAACATACCACTGATGATTGTTGCTTCGATCAGATTTGGTGTAATTTTTTTAATCGTCAGTCTGGTTCTGTTGCACAGATATCGTGGATTTAAGTTTCGCATTAGTATCATTTTAGCTCCTTCATTTAAGTAATGTGGTGGGTTAATGACAAATTAGGAGGCATTTGGATACCTGACATAGCTCACACGATTATCTTTCACTTATACCTAACAGTTTATGTTAAATTGTGCGGGTATAGAACAAATGATAAAGATATTTAGGCATTGCTATCCATTTTAATGTTTATAATACTTTGATAAAGGTTTTTACTTTTTATGTTTACATATTAATAGTGGAGAATTCAAACGTTGTTCAGTGCACAGGAGTGCTGCGTTTGGGTTTAATATATATGGACTCATCCAAAAGTAAAATAGTTTTCTGTGCTGCATTCTGTGAAAACAATGTGGCACTATTTCAAATCATGATGAATACAGAATGTTGCGATTATTCAAGCCTACAAAACAATTGGTGAAGTAAACACTTTCTTTTAAATTATATTTATTTGTAAACATTGTAGTTCCAAAAGTCTGACAATGAACCCCTTAAACCTCTCTGGGGCGGAGCCCTTATGATGGATCTGCACCAAACTTCACACAAACCATCCTTGAATAATGCTTAATAATGCCTTAATGTTTCATTAAAATATGTCTAGTGGTTTCGGAGTCTAGGGTACATACATACACACATACTTTCTCTTTTATAGGTATAGATAAAATTCTTAATTTTGTAAATTGTATTTATTTAAAGACATTCATCCTCAATTCTAAATAAATAAATAAATAATCCATAGCTAAAATAAGAGTCAATACTTTGACGAATTATTTAAGACTATAAAGAGTTTTTGGAGCTATTCAGAATTGAGGATATATGTATTTAACTATTTAAAGACAGTTTTCAAAATAAAATAAAAAGTGAATAAAGGTTAATGAGTCACATAAAATTTGTCGGATTTTATTCAATGATTAATAAAAATAAAGCCAAACATTTAATCAATAAATTCAGATCATAAATAGCTTGGTTACGTATTGACAACCCGAGATATGAATCTTTTAATAAAAACTGATTTCCTAAAAGGTCAATTTAAGATTGTGTTGGGGTTTGTAGCTCGTCTCTAAATTGTCTGATTTTAATGATCAATAGCAAAAATAATCAAATTACAGCCCTTACATCACTGAATATTTTAATGCTACAGTAGATTGAACTGCAAGCGTTAATAATAACTGGAGATGTATGAAAATCATTTTAAAAATTGTTCAAAGAACGAAACATTCATTGGAAATGTATGGGGTAGAGTTTTTGTTTGAATCTTTTCTCAAAACAAAAAAGGATGTTTAAAAACGGATTTCAGAATTACAATCAGCGTGAAAATCTAGTTTAAAATGATGTGTCACAAAACTATCATTACATTTAAAATATTTTATTTATATCCAATATGTCAATCCAAGATGGCGGCCATTAAAGCGTTATTTATCGAAATTAGGTACTAACCAAGGAATAAATATCAGCAAAGGTACCAAGTCAATTCTCGAAAAATGTTCATAAAAATGCATGAGGTTTTTTCAAATTTGTCAATTTTGGGAAAAGCCGCCATTATTACTAGTCATTTTAGGGGTTTTCCCGTGTACCAATTTTCAACAACTTTTATTATGTCACTCTGCCAGCCCAACACTAAAAATAAAACTACGAAACGTTTCATTGAAATTTTTTTAATGTCATATCCTATATTTCTCTGACTACTACTGTAGTTGTCTATTATGAAAAATTGAATTTCGGTATGTTTGTAAACGTCTACTTTTTCAGTGTTCCCATGTCGGATTTTTGTTTGTATATTATCCTGTATAAATTATTTCAAAATATGGCTTAAATTTTCTTAAATCAATGTATCCTACCTCAAAGTGTATTACAGTATAACCGGAGTAGATGTAGCGGTGCAGCGTGCGTCACGGCTAGCGTTCCAAGATGAAGACTAATAACAAATATATCCCATCTTCAAAGCAAGATACAAACTGATGTGATGATTATTATTGTTCATAACATTTAATGCAGATTATTTAATTAGCCACAAAATAGGCATGTTCATATCACCTGAGTTTTTATTTGCAAAAATTTAAAGGTTTTACTAAAACATCTTTGAAAATTGGTGTTTTTAAAATTTAAAGCTGTTTCATTTAAATGAAAAAAATATTGAAATGGTAGGCCTATAAAAGTTGTTTTTATCTTAAAGTAGACTTAATGAGGAAGCTATTAAA